CCTAAACACGTAAACACCTAAACACCTAAACCTCTAAACACCTAAACCCCTAAACACCTAAACCCCTAAACATCTAAACCCCTAAACCCCTAAACCCCTAAACACCTAAACCCCTAAACACCTAAACACCTAAACCTCTAAACACCTAAACCCCTAAACACCTAAACCCCTAAACACCTAAACCCCTAAACACGTAAACCCCTAAACACCTAAACCCTTAAGTTTTCTGCGCTTTGAGGTTGCAGTGCTTTCGGAAGAGGATTTCGTCGCTGCCCAGGCGAGCAACGGCGGTAGCTTTTGCAACCTGCAGCCACTCAGATTAATATTTAGGATTTAGGGTGTAGGGTTGGGTTTAGGATTTAGGGTTTAGGGTTTAGGATTTAGGGTTTAGGATTTAGGGTTTGGGATTTTTGGGTGTAGGGTTAGTTGGGGTTATATAGAGATAATGGAAAATAAAATGGAAACTACTATTTAGGGTAGAGGGTTTAGGGTTTAGGGATATGTTGGTTTCTCATAATTAGGGGTACCATTTTAGGGGCCCTCATTATAAGGATCATAGTATATTGGGGTCTATATTGGGATCCCCCAATTTCAGGAAATTTCTATTTCAGTTATTGCGGTGTGGGAGGAATCATTTTAAGGAAATCTGAGATTTTCGAAGCTTGGAGATTTCAATCATGGAAGTTGGAACCCCAAGCAATTGTAAGTTCAATTTGTCGTGTTGTCTATCGCTTAAGGTTTAAGGTGTAAGGCTCATTGGTGTAGGGTTTCAGGCCTAGCGGCTTAGGGTATATGGCCGCTGTACAGCAAGAGGGTCGCATCAGCCCTAAACCCTAAACCCTAAACCTTAAACCCTAAACCCTAAAGCAAACAAGGCCGATTGGTGGATCTCTGGGGAGCCACGCGGTGCCAGAGCTTAAATTCTTGGGGTTTCCCAAAATTACCCCTTGGGGTAATATTCTCTAAAATCCTTAAAGGGAACTATATAAGGTTTAGGTTTAAGGTTTAGGATTTAGGGTGTAGGGTTTAGGGTTATATTGGGGTTATATTGGGATCATGGAAGATAAAATAGAAACTACTATTTAGGGTATAGGGTTTACGGTTTAGGGATATGGAGGTTTCCCAAAATTAGGGGTACCCTTTTGCGGTCTGAATAATAAGGATCATGGTATTTGGGGGTCTTTACTGGGGTCCCTCTATCAAGGGATTCTACCACATCTCCATGGTGCCTGCAGAAACTGGTCGAACGGATAAGGGCTTCCGTGGGAGTTTAGGGGGTTGGCGTAAAGAACTCATTCACACCCTAAACCCTATAGCTTAGGTGGACCCCCCACCCACTATAAAGGATAATAATTACATTAGGGTCCTCTGAAATTCCTATTATACAACTACTACAGGGTGGGGGGGGTTCCCCCTAAGCTATAGCTGGGATCCTAAGTGTTGCTATTCGTCTTGCAGGCATTGATGTTGGGGGGATTCTACAGCGATTGCCATAGGCATCCATTCCACCAGCGTTCGTTCTCTACTCAGCAGAAGTCAGGAACAGCTTCCCTATGTGGAGAATGTGCAGCGTTGTCCATGCAATCTGGGAGTTTCTCAAAATACTCCCTGTAGAATCCTTCAGAATTACCCCCTGACGGCCTTACAAACCCTAGATATCAATAGGGTTCTTAGCGGCTTCTTATTATAAGAAACTCCCATCCAGGCGCGACTACCATGATTTCAGGAGAAAGCCACTTCTTTATGTTCAGAGCACAGGGGTTATGCGGCAGAAGTGCGGATTGATACAGGTTCTGCTTGGAGGGGCATGTTACTTGTAAGCTACTTGACACACCTAAACCCTAAGCCCTAAGCCCTAAACCACACCCTAATCCCCGAAGCCTTTACCCTAAACCCAATCATAGCCATACCTTGGGTTCTTGTGAAGGGGTTATAGTTACACGTAAAACTCGTTTATAAGTAGTTTGCCCGTCCAGTTGCAAGGATGTTGAGGGGATTTAAATCCGCAAGCCCTCAAGCATAAGCTCTAAACCCTCTACCCTAAACTCTCAACCCCAAACCCTAAACACTCAACTCTAAACCGCATGAAGGAAAAGGAGGCTGCAACAAAAAACATGCGCGAAGGTGGGTCTGTCGGTCTCGGAGAAGTGGGCGCGTCAGTTGCTTACTGATGGTTAGTAAGGATTGTGGGCAGGGGCTTAGGGTTTGGGGCTTAGGGTTTACGGTTTTAGGGTTTAGAGCTTAGGGCTTTAGGTTTTGGGGCTTAGGAATCCCTATCATAGTCCTCAGGTGATATAGTCCTTGCGTATCCCTGTAATCCCGGGAATCCCCAAGATCCCCACTAATGAAGTAGGGCTCATGTTCTTTTTCCATTCCTTCATTCCTGCCTCAAACCCTAAGCCATTACCCCTAAACCCTCATCCCTGGACCTCGCAAGGTTAGGCTACGCGGTCAGTAGCGCCTTCTCAGACGGCCATGTGCAACGGTCATTGAACGAATACCGCCCGACGGACTGATTTCTCGGGGAGAATGATAACACAGCAAGAATAAGACAGGGTTTAGGGTTTAGGGTTTAGGGTGATAATCATGGTGCTACATAAGAGTAATAGTAGCAATGATGGTAATAGTAGCGGTAAGAATGCAAGTAAGAGTAGGAGTAAGGGTAAGGGCAAAAACCAATGGTAATCGAGGGCGATGGCAATAGCAATAGTCTGAGATAGTAAGAACAAGAATTAAGACAAGAGTAAGAGTAAGGGCAACAAGCTTAGCAAGGCTAATAGTACGAGTACGAGTTATAGTTACGTCAGATTACGAATGAGAGTTGGAGTTGTAATAAGATACAATGAGAAAATAGCATTTTCGCTACAGCTTTCTTAGGGCGTATTAGTGCAGTAATAAATCAGTGGATGGGGCCTGATTTTAAGACCTCCCGGCTGCTTATGACCTAGAGCTGGAAACTCTCCACGTTTTGCACACCCCAGTCCTAAAACACAAAATCCTGAACCGTAAACTGCCAGCGGCCCCGATCGTGCATGACAGAATCTGAAAGACTCAAAATCCTTACACGTACTGCATAACCCCAAGCTCTTAAATGGTAGTTTCCCAAAATAAGGGGACCCCAATGTAGACCCCAATATATTATAATCCTTATTATGGGGACCCCCAATAGGGTACCCCTAATTTCAGGAAACCCCCAATTCCTGAGCCCATGGAGCCCAGACTTCGCAAAATCAGGGGTGCCACTTTGAGGGTCCATCTAGTAAGGGTTATAGAATTTGGGAGACTGTATTTATTGGGTTCCCGCTATTTAGGGAGACCACCATAATTTAAGTAAGCTAATGTGGGCCATCAGCCTCTTTAGAGGGACTCTTTTCCAGGGGCCCTTACAGACGTAAATTGGGTACAGACTCGGAATATAAAGACCCCTACCAGGGGCCATGCTTGTCATCTTAAATCCTAAACCATAAACCCTGAACCCTCACCCCTAAGCCCTAAGCCTTAAACCCTACACCCCAAACCCTAAACCTCAAGCCCTAAACCCTGAATCCTGAACCCTAAACCCTAAATCCTAAGCCCTGAACCCTAAATCCTAAGCCCTGAACCCTAAGCTCTAAAGCAGGACTACTGCAGCGCCATCAACCAGGAGATTCTACAGAATCTGGGTTGCTGTTAAGGAACTTTAATTAAGTTACTATAATGGGTTTAGGGCTTAGGGTTTAGGAACTTAAATTACGTTACTATAATGGGTTTAGGGTTTAGGGTTAAGGAACTTAAATTAAGTTACTGTATTGGGTTTAGGGTGTAGGGCTTAGGGTTTAGGAACTTAAATTAAGTTACTATATTGGGGAAACCCTGTTATTTACTGTATATACCCACTATGGTAACTTACATTTAAGTTCCTTAACAGCAACCCAGGAATGCGCAGCCAGAAGCTCTGACAGTGCAAGGGATGCTCCTG